TCGATTCCCCTTTTTGATCAAATAGGGACGGAAAGTTTTTTTAAAACTGATTTTTTGTACCTTCCGGCTGCTCACACAGTAGCACGTCAAACCTGGACTTTTGTGATGGGGCAGACTTCTGTGTTGTTTGTATTCCCAGTTTTCCTTGCAAATCTAAGCCCAGAATACAACTTGCTCGGCGTTCTGTAACTAAGAACGTTGCGTCTGTCACTTCCCACCTTGCTGACCTGATACTAGTACATAATGCACCAAGTATTTGAATTGGTTGTTTGTTATAATCAACAAATTGCGTCGATAGATTCAGTTTTTCAGGTGGAATGAACTTTATCTTTGTAGCTCCCTCCATCAGTTGTTTGGCCGTTGTCCAATTCAGAAAAGATACTGGACTTCCCGTGTCAATTGTCATATTGATAATATGTGTATCGATTCTTACCAAGGCTTTCAAAGCTTTTATTTTGTATGATCTTGAATCCCTTCTAATGTAAATTTTTCGAACATCTTTTGCATCCATTCTCGTCTCTTTACTTTTGATTTCTGATATCAATTTTCCAATTTCTCCATCTGAGTCCTGTAATTTTGATTCCACCGGCATGATTTCAAACTCTTCACAGGAATCAAAACTACGAATTAAGTTGCATTCTTCTTCTAAACTAGAATTTTCTTCCGCTATTTCATTCACCTGGTTCCATCTACACATTTTTGCGAAGTGATATGGATTATTGCAGCTTTTACATGTTTTTCCCATCGCTGGACAAACTTTCACCAAAGGTTTTACCACATCTAGTACATGTTTTTTTTTCAGTTCTGTTTTTATCTTTGTTATCGTTCCATTTCTTCTTCAATTGGTCTCGATTTGATCGTTTGTAATTCTGATTTTTGTTCCCAACTGCCATAATTGGTTCCTGTTTTATTTTAATCTGAGGCTCAAAAATTTTTCCTCCCATTGAACTTGGTTTGTTCAAATTTAATGGCCCGTTTCAATACTTCATCTGGTGTGAAGGTTTCAAAAGTCAATGTATCTTGCAATGCAGTGTTCTTCATTCGTGATATAAATAGATCTCTCACCAATTCTTCCTCTAAACCACCCAATTCGGCCGTAGCTGCTTGGACAGTTAAAGCCGCATGAAAAGACTCCAAAGTCTCTCCGGATTCTTGTGTCCTGGTGAATAATCTATATCTCTCGTACGTACTGTTTTTCGTCTTTTCAAATGATGCTTTAGCTTATCTCACTATCTCACTGAACTCAATCTTTGAGATTTCGATATGTGGATTTTTCTGTACGAATTTTTTCTTTCCTTCTCTGCCTAATGCCAAAAATAGACGAGACGTATGTCGTTTTTGAACTTCGTTATAGAACACATTATGTCCTACCTTTGGACCTCGTTCTCTTCTCTCTTCATTCTCGAGTATTACTCTGTCTCTTCTTAATCTATCTCTCGCCTCCCGATCTGTTGTAGCCTGAGCAGTTTCATGATCTCATGGAGTTTCCGGGTGAGGCATTGGCTCATCAATTACATCTTTTGGTTCTTCTAGTAATATCTCAGGATTTACACTTTCTTTGACTGTCACTGCTAACATAAATTGATCCAACCAAATTTTGAAATTCCACGGTGGATCCGAGCTAGCGGACGTCCAGAACACTGGGATACCCATGTCTGTTCTTTTATTCTGTGCCATGAATCCTGCTGGCTGCGCCATGTGGTAAAGTGAAGTAAAACTTTACTCGTAAATTGAAAATGATTAGTTTCAATATTTTAATTCAAATGAAACTGTGTCTTTTAACATCAGCTGCGGTTCTGTGAACCAGCTTGACAAACGTAACTCGGCACGCAAAGCTTAACAACTAAAATACAGAATCTACGCAGCGATCAACACTGCATGACCTTGGCCATTACGTAATAACAATATACTTATAGATATTAATAGTTATACTTATAGATATAACAATATACTTATATACTTATAGATATAATATAATTATAGATACCAATATGCGGTCCACGGTTAGTGTGCAGCAAAGGTTACTTGGTTACTGCACATGCAGTATGTGCTGTACCACAGGGGTGTAGAAAATATAATTTAAATGTCTTTTAGCCAAAACCAAATTTGTTTTGTTGTGAATATCTCATTGTTTACACATACATCCAAAAACTGCTGATCGAAAAACAAAACTTCTGAGATTCAAAACGCATCAGAAGGTTTTTCTTTAGGCTACTAGCTCATGCGATCAATGTAAATGTTATTTTTTTCGCTAACTGCTGTTGTGCAGCTCGTCATCCAATAGTAATCACCACAGCCAGCTCTAACCTGAAGCTGTTACAATTACACTTTAGTATAAATCCGCGATCATTCCTTGCTACAAAACACAGTGCTGATTTAAATTATCCGGACAAAACTTGAATTTTCAAACGCGTTTTTCTCAAATTGGGTTAAGATTTGACAAAAAGTTATGAGAACAAAATTTGCTTAGAATTTCACCAGAATTAATATGGTGCCATTTTTTCAAAATTCTCAACAAAAGTTTTACCCCAAAAATGGGTCATTTTGGCTTTTTTCAATTAATCAAGAATTAAGCGGAAACTACTTTGTTAATTGATAAGAAAATTATATAACAGGAAGCCTCTTACGCAGCTCAACAAAGTTTAATAAGGGTTAAATCTCCAAAAACCAATATAAGAGAAAAAATTTTCACTTGATAGTCAATAAATGTGATTTATACTATATGAAACCCAGAATCTCTGTTTAAAAAAATATTTTAAACAATTTGCGCAGATTTTTGGAGGTTTAACCTTTCTTAAACTTTGTTGAGCTGCGTACGAGGCTTCTTGTGATATAATTTTCTTATCAATTAACAAAGTAGTTTCCGCGTAATTCTTGATTCATTGGAAAAATCCAAAATGACCCATTTTTGGGGTAAAATTTTGGTTGAGAATTTTGGAGAAAAAATGGCACCATATCAATTCTGGTGAAATTCTAGGCAAATTTTGATCTCCTCACTTTTTGTCTAACCTCAACCCAATTTGACAAAAACGCGTTCGAAAATTTAAGTTTTGTTCGTTTTGTCCGGATAATTTAAATCAGCACTGTATTGTCTCCAACAATGAATAAATTTTATTGAATATCCTCGAAAACAAATTATTCAAATAATTTTATTGGCAATAATTGCGTAATCAATAATTTTTTACACCCTTGTGTGTGGGGGAAAAGATGATGAAAAATGAAACAGAAAACTTTTTTTTCTCAAGTATTTTGTCAATTATTCAACCCAAAAAAAATTTTGAATTGGCTTAAGCGCAGTCGAGACATTCAGGGCTTTGCCCTGATAGACGAGCAGCCTTATTTAAAATATTACAAGACTGCTCGTATCAGGGCGAAGCCCTGATGTTCCGACTGCGCATTAAGGTTTATGGAGCAGTAATATCATTAAAAAATTAAAAGTAATAAAACAAAATGAAATTTTTTTTTTCAAAAATTTTTAATTTTTTTTAAATCATCCCCCCACACGCCATATAAAGTACAAAAGGATAGATTTCGCTACTTGTAACAAATCAATCATGGCAAATAAGCCTCGTTAAACCAATTTGGAACGATTTCTAAGACGGATTAATATATCGCGCGTTAATTGTCCCAAATTGGCCAAAATGGCAATCTTTAAACCCCCATAACTTTACAAAAAATGATCACAGGTGAAATTTGAGCTCAGGACAACAATACCTTTCGAATGATATAAAAAAATTTTGTCAAAAATGGCTAATTAAAAAGTCGAAATTTGTCTGGAGAAAAAAAACCCACCCCGAGCACAAATATTCCGTTACTTTCGTATCGAAAGTCGGAACAAAAAGACAAATCTCGACTTTTTAACTAGCCATTTTTGACGGAATTTTTATATCATTTGAAAGTTATTGTTGTCTTGAGCTTAAATTTGAAAAGATATATTACCTGTGATCATTTTTGGTAAAGTTATGGGGGTTTAAAAATTGCCATTTTGGCCAATTTGGGACAATTAACGCGCGATAATTTCGCGCTATTAACGTGTAAGCGAAGAGTTAATCCGTCATAAAATCGTTCCAAATTGATTGAAAGAAGCTTATTTGCCATAATTGATTTGTTACAAGGAGCTAAATCTATCTTTTTGTACTTTAAATGGCGGGGGATGATTTTCATGAAACTTTCAAATTTAAGAAAAAAAAATTTCATATTATTTAATTACATTTAATTTTTTTAATGTTATTACTGCTCCATAAAACGTTAAAAGGCGGTCGGAACATTCAGGGCTTCGCCTTGATACGAGCAGTCTTGTTTATTCTTTGTTGTCGATGTTTTTTGTATTCCAGATTAAAAAGTTGTCCTAGCAAATAACATCAACTGTGGCTTGCTAAATCCAGGAAAAAAATGTCATAATCTGGTGGTAAAATTTTTACAACTAGTCAAATAAAATCGGAATTATTTGAAGAAGTTACAAACAACATAAAAACAAATTATGAACAGAACAGGCGTATAAAATGCAAACAAGACTGCTCGTATCAGGGCGAAGCCCTGAATATTCCGACTGCCTTTCAGGTTTATGGAGCAGCAGTAATAACATTAAAAAAATTAAATTAAAAAAAATAAAACGAAAATTTTTTTTGAAAATCATCTTGTTAAAATCATCTTGTAATTTTTTTTTTAATAGCGCGAATTATATCGCGCGTTAATTGTCTCGAATTGGTCAAAATGGCAAACTTTAAACCCTCATAACTTTACGAAAAATTCCGTCAAAATGGCTAGTTAAAAAGTCGAAATTTGTCTGAAGAAAAAAAACCCACCCCGAGCACAAATATTCCGTTACTTTCGTATCGAAAGTCGGAACAACAATCTCAAAATATGCCTGCTGTGTGAAGCCAGCGTAGTTCACGAAAAGACTCAGTTCTCGAATTGGCTTGGTTAGACAAGGCTTTACCGGAAAAAACCTGAGCTGCGCATGTGTAATAAATTGCAATTTTCATCAGAATTAAAATTGATTTTTAGGAAGAATGTGAATTATTTATTTATTACTTCTATGTACAAATAAGCTAGCCAAACAGTAGAGAATGAATAAATCATAGTTTTGGATTTACTGAGTTGTAGGGCATGTATGTTCTCATAGTCCAGTATCTTCGATCTGGTTTTCGTGTCTCATTTGGAAATTATAGTCATCATTGGACTCATTACCAGGAGTGATGTCACTGAAGGACAACTTCGGCTTCGTTTCCTCTGTCCTTGTTTCGTAGTCTTCAGTGTACGCTAGATTTTCATAGTTCAAACCTCGACCGTAGGAGGTACCTGCTCTGAAACTGGACCAATCATTAAAATACTAAAATGTCAGCCATTGTTCAATAACGCTAGATGTTTTTGAATTTTCTGATACATTTTCCTCGTCCTAAGCAGATCAGCCTTTTTTGCAGATCAGCCCAGATATATGTATTTTGCAATTCTTGTACCCAATTTTAAGCAGGAAACAATAGTTCGACTGTTGGATGCTTAGAAAATTGCGCTTTTGTTTCAGAAAAGAAGATAATATTTTCTGCAAAAAAACGAGGACAAAGGCTTGATAGCTATTTATAATACAATCGTTTCGAAGCTAAGAACAAATGGTAGGAAGCAAAAGGATATAGGAGAACTTCAAGGTGTTCCTACGAAACGGATTGGCGTCCAATGATGATGATGGTCATTTTTAGATACTACTCGATGTAATGGTGGATTTTTTAGAATAATTTGAAAACTGTGACTTTAAGTGCCTCGTAACAATTTTTCAATGTCTTTGGAAATCATTATAACAACAAACAGTTCACTTACAACGCATCTTCATATTCGTTTTCCTGCAAATACACTTCGTCCAGACTAGCCACATGGTGCACAGTAGCCTCACGATGACTACCGGGTCTCATTGTTGGATTTCTGCGAAAAGAGAGAATGACGATTTTTTAGTTTCCAAATCACTAAACAGATAAAATCTGAGATGAGCTTAAGGAAAAATGTTTTTAATTGAAGTTACAACACACTGAAAACTAATTTAGATATCAAAACTATGAAACCTGCAAATCAGGAACGGACTTAATGGAAGCAAGTTTTTTTTAACGAGGATCTGGGCATTTCTTGGAACGGAATTGTCTTCCAATGATGGACCCGATGGGCTGACATAGGAGGGGCTTTTTAAATGAAGCCAAGTCTCCCTCCCATGGATTGGTGAAAGCTGAAAGCCTGTGGGTTTTCAGTTCAAGAGTGTTGCAAGCCCAAATAAGCGCCTGGTTACAAGTTAAAATGCAGTGTCCTTAAACTTTTAAGAAAACACCATTGTAAGTTGAATTGCCGTACTTGCACGTTAACCTGTGTTTTACCTCATCTTGGCTCACAGTCCCTCTACTTCTAATCCCAGCTCGCCTAATCCTTCTCTATGTCCCCTTTACAGAAAGATCCGCAAAGAAAGAAACAAAGAAAAATGTGGCATCCTTTTTGTGATTCACAATAACCCGGGTTGACCAAAACTTCTTATCATACAATTTTCATATATGAGAAACTTCTTGTCATACAATTTCATACGTACAGAAAATTGTATGAAAACTCTATGATAAGCATTTTTCCATATATGAAAATTGTATGATAAGTGTTTTCCCATAAACCAAAACTTTTGATTTCTTCTTTCTGAATTTAGTTTCTGAAAAATTTTCGGTTGTGTTTGCAACCGAACACAAGTGACAAAGACCTTGGTTACTCATAACAACAAAGGTTGGACGGTCTTGCATATTTCATGCGTAGAAAACGACCTGAATGTGGGTGTCTTTCACAATTAATATAACAAAAGTAACAAACTTTTCTTTTTTGGCAAAATTTTTTAATGATGATTATTTCAAATTTGTGAATTTTCAAATTATCAGAAATTGATCAGGGCATACATTAACACCCCATACAAAAGAAATTGCAATTTTCAGCGTTTTTGAAAAAAAAATTTAAGTGCAAAGAAAATAAAAGCCAATTTTATCGTATCCAGGACTACGTTATGCACACAACATATTAAATTTTGCATGCAAAAAAAATTTTTCGAAAAATGTTTGTTTGCGTACGAAATTCGATTTGCGGTTGAAAAAAAAACATAAAATTTTTTGGGCAAAATTTGGAAAATTACTTACTCAAAAAAATGCCCGTCATACAATTTCCATATATGGGAATTGTATGATAAGCATTTTTTTCAAAAAACGAAAACCTCAGTTTTTTATCACCAGACTGTTTTATTAGAATCAAACAGCCACAGAAATAAGTTTATACCAGTTTTCAACCATTTTTAGAAATTGTATGGAAATTGTATGACTAGCATTTTCCACACACTTGATGTATGGAATTGTATGATAAGCATTTTCGGTGTATGGAGGTCAACCCGGGAAACTAACATTACATGTTACAGACCAGTTTAGGAATTTCGTTATACAGTTGTAGCAAAATCTTTGTGCTTGTAACTTTTTTATTCGTTCTTGCGATATAGGGGCATGTTTTTAATCTAATGTAAATTTATTCAATTCTGTCTGGAGACCTGCCAGCTGGCCTTGTCGACCTCTTTTCTATCTGGTGTATGCTAAAACAAAATGTCAAGATGAATTAATTTTCTTGAACTACATGTTTGCCTTCAAAATTGAGCTTGACTTAACATCCGTTTTCACGTTTAGATCATGGTGCAGCAAGTGAAAAGAAAGTGGGAGCAAACCCACACCGCATAATGTCGTTTTGGGATTCACAGACGACGGAGCCGCATGCAAACTGGAGAAAATGGATTATCAAAATTTACTGTGACATGATTGCCAAGTATAATATTGACCCTGATGGCAATTACTTAGCAGCTTCCCTCAGCTTATTAACATTACCGGGAGATTTAAGCGGCAAGCACGGTCTGGAGTCGGAAACAAAAGTTAAAGTCGAATCGGTTTTTAATTATCGGAGATGAAGCGCAACGAAAGGGACAATGTCATCGGTCCTGGACGAAAGGGACAATGTCATCAAAAGCGAATTGTCACGCGCGACGCGCGACAAAAACACTTGCGGAAGTATACCGCATTGCTTTGTCATACGAGAGGAGAGAGCGGGCATACAAATTGTACACCGGTAAGCCAGCCTCGTTGACGCTGCACATTTCCATCAAACAGAAACCTGTAGGGAGCATCAGAAAAATATCGGGATACTTTCGTAATCGGGCGTGCGATGGCAGAGGAAGCGCACCGGATGAACTCAGCAGGCGGGAGGAGATGCTACATTTATGGCGCTCCGATTTATACTCTGGAACATATTCCTAACTGCCATGCGCAGAACCTAACAAGCAACCCTAGTCGGAAACTCAGTCATTTTGAGAAAACCTGCCAGGGAGTAAGAAACTGAAGTAACCAGTGGAGAGTACGGAACCGAGTGGGGTTAGTCATGGACGAAAATGAACATCAGAGTTCATTAAGTGTCGATAGTTGTAGCATGCACAAGGAACAAGCTGGATGAGTCAACCAACAGCAGGCAGAAAAGGAAAAAGTATCCACATTCTCCGGGTCGGTCGACTATACGGGAATGTGCATAACGAAGAACAACACAGTTGAAATGACAATTTTGGGGGTCTGAGTTCAAGCTAAAACCTCCGGACAGAAACCTCCGGTCCCCTGTCATCATATTCAGCATGAATGACCTGATGTCGAATTTGGGTATGGCGAATCATCAACTACAATCGACTAAAGACGAGTGTCTTGATTATAACAGCAGTCGTTTGCATACTCTTGGAAAAACTTCGGTATCGATTGAGTTGCACGGGTGAACGAGAAGTGTCAAAGTGTCAGTGATAGCAGGGAACTACCAGTGAAAGCTCGAGTGCGATTGGATTGGATACCTCGGACAGAATTTGAGTTAGCGTAAAGGGGAAGGGTGAAAAGGATTGTAGGGGAGTAAAGCAGTGACAATGCAGAAGGCCTGGATGAGTGGCGAACGTACTTTTATAAGTTGTCTCCGAAAATATTTTCACGACCAGGGAAAACCCGAAAGGCAAAAATGAAAGAAGTCTTTTTGACTGTTTATAACTCATTTTGCAGAAAGGGCTCAGGGTGCTCTATTAGTCTTCAGGTAAACAGGAAAATAATGCACTTAGTAAACGGGTACACAAAATCAAATTTCATGAACACTCAGACAAAAGTTACGTGTCACCAATAGTAATTGCGGTACAAAATATGCAAGCCTACAGTTGGCATAAAAGTCAAGCCAAATAATCAAACAAGCTGACAAGAACAAGTATGACAAAAATCGACAAAATAGTTAATGAGATTAGTCAAATAATTTCAGAACGAAAAACGAAAGTAGTATTTTTCACCAGCCTAAAATTATCGTATGCATACGGTCATGCAGGTAGTCTTAGAACAAAAAAAACTAGCGAACAATGTAAGTTTTCCCTTGTTGGCGGGAAAACAACAGGAACATCATGAAAATGATGGCCTAAAAACAATCCAGGGAGAATTTCAAAAAGTTAACGACGCCATGGTAAATGATTTTCTACAAGCACGTGCTTTTATCAACGACATATCAATCATTTCGAAGCATGCGAAGATTGAGCACGTATCGTTAATAGAAAAAGTGCTCAAGAAAACGGACGTATCTAACGCCTCATTGAAATCACAAAATGCAAATTTGCAAAAATCGATTGTGGTTAGCTCGGGTTCAAAATCGCAAAAATGGAAGACAAAGCAAAATTTTAGGTACCAAATAAAACAACAAAAACGACAATTAAACTCAATTGATCATGCAAAACACTCGCAGCCAATCCAAAAGTGCCCAGAGATGAATATGCAAAAAAAACAAGTTTAAATCATTAGTGCCACGAGAGGGTGTGAGGTCATGCACATGGCGCCTAGCCTTTCAAAAGCAAAATAACTGCATACCGAAGGAAATAGGCAAATACGAGAATCCTAAGTTTAGATTTTCGGCTCAAACTGTTAAGTTCAGTTGCAAACAATAAGTGTCCCCTAATAACTCTCTTGAAAATCGGAAAATGGTCAACACCATTGTTACAACAACCCAATCCAGAAATATCAATTTTGTTGTTGTACTAAACAGTCTTGCTAGTAAAACCCCTCCTCTGAGCTCAAATTCAGACAATGAGGTGATTTCTTTTGAAAAGATACGGCCCAAAATAAGTTAGGCTAAAAATATTTTTTCTTGTCATTTCTTCACCACTTTTCATGGCCCTTGTGCTACATTTTGAATCGGAAAAATTGTTTTTTTTGGCTATTCTGTTGAAAAGCCGCAATATGAGGAAAAAAGGTTAAGCAGAAATACTTAACCTTACTTTCGAAAAAGCTTATCTGGCAAAAGATCCGATTATGAAAAATATCAAGGACGCGATCCTTGACAAGGATCCGCAGGCCAAAGAAACGGTGACGCGCTTCTGGCAGTACTATGCTCAACTTAATAACAATTTTGCGGTGAAAGAACTGCCTGTTTAAAGATGGCCGGATAGCGATCCCGAAGGCTCGTTTCACAGCGGTAATGAGAAGGCCCCAACACAGCCATCCTTGCCGCTGCGAAAGATATATAGATGCGAAAGGACATCCCCAAGGCAAATTTCAGTGAAAGGTATAAACTTTTCTGAATCAACCGAAATGGTCCCACGGGATTTTTGGGACCAATCAATTAAGTAACAGATCGGAAAAAAATACCTTCTAGTGGCAGTAGATGTTTCATTTCTTTATCTATCAAGGAGTAGTAAATCCAAATCGTACTTAAGTTTTTAACCATGTATATCGCTAGGCATGTGCTTTCAGGAAAAAAATGCACAGATCTGGCATACGGTTTCTTTTCTTATGAGATTCAAAATTCTACCTTTTGTAACTATGAAGAAATCGAAATAGAAAGTTCACCGGTGAAAGATTAATGGGAATGGTAGCGAGAACCATTGGATCGTCGAAAAGTTTTGTTTTACCTTACTTGAAGGAGGATTACAAAAAAAGTTATGGGAACTGGTTTCACGAGCGGTAATCGCTTTACGCTCTGAATTGAATTTCACGCCTTTATAAGGCTCATCACAGAATGAAAACTAACTCAAAATTTCATTGCCTTTCAAAGATACCATCGCTAAGGAATTTAGACTGGAGAAGTGTAATAAACCAAAAGTTACATCAATAAGTTTTAGCAAAGGAACGCCCGGAAAATGATGCAATCATTGACGACTGGTTAAAAACATCGACGTGGTCAACCTTGGTGTGTTCCACAATATAGGAACGCACCAAGGTTCTTGGACAAGCACGAACTTGCCACGCAGGGTATCAAAAAAACGCATTCGAACGCACCATCCTGGTTGAAAAGACACAAACCGAGCATTATTGTGGTCTACAAGAAAACAGAGGTAATCGCTCAAGGACAACCGAAGGTATAAGAAACTAAGTACTCACATTTGAGAAGTAACTACACATACGGTCCAAATGAAAAAGATATTTGCTAAGGCAGAGGATGCATGATTGGGTCTGACAATCCAAGATGCCAGTTAACTGGGGCTCATCGATACGAGTACCCCTAGCATAAGCTCGAAAAACAGAAACAAGCGCGGGCCTATGGAAAACTTAAAAGCAGGGCGGACACTCTAGCAGTCGGAGCGGAAAAGCCGAAACGGAAGTTGCTTAAAAAGCGAAGTGAAACAGAAAAAGTTAAAACAACCTGGCCAAAATTTGAAGTAATGAAGAAAACGTGGAGGTCATTTTTAAAAAAAATTGAGCGGATGAAAGGGGAGCGAAGCTGACGAGACGACGAAAGCTAAGGAAGCGAGCGAGAACGAAAAAATGGGGACATCAGAAACCCCAGGGCCAGCTGAAGAGCAGCCCAAGGGACTGGCTAGAAAATTAATTCGTCAAAGAAGGAGCGTAAACATCAAATGCGGAGTGATTATCTGGAAGATCACGCGCAAAAGGTAAAAGACACGTAGAAAAAAGGAATATTCCGAGAGGACGGATTTAAAAAGCCAAAAAATTTAAGCAAACCAAACTCACTTAAAACTCAATGAAATCGGTAGACGTATGTGTTTGTAGCATTAACTGTCCACAGGACCTATGTACACGGGTACACAATTTTCACAGTATTTACGGGAGCTTATATTGATCATATATTTAAAAACTTCGTTTGAAAATTATTGTGGCTGTTCCCATGGCATAGCGGCATGTTGCTTAACCTAATGTAAACTGAATGAGTTCTATTTGGAGACCTGTCAGTTGACCTTGTCGACCATTTTGTGTCTCTCATATGCTAAATCAAAATTTTCAGATTAATCAATGTTGTTGAAGTTCATATTTGTATTCAAAACTAACTTATACGAAATACCCGTTTTCATGTCTACATTACTAGATCCTGTTGTCATGCGTTGTTAGTTTACTTGAATTTACTTGAACTTTATATATCTAAGGTTTATATGTCTATATTTATATCACTATATTTAAATTGCACTGCGGATGCCAACAAGCACTGCATTCACGATTAGAAAAAAACAAACTATGTTGAAAATTATCGGGACCAAATAACGAAATCACTGGACCCTGTAATTCATAAGAAAAACAGAACCAAAATTGTTTCACTACAGATGACTACAACGGTTCTTTCCCGATTTTGTCCCTCGCATCACAATTTCTTCTCCTATCAGCTTACTGATTACACCATCGCTAGTATCTTTTGACCTACACCTGAATGAAGATTTAGTTTTACCCACAAACCTTGTCCACAAATTTTTTAATTCTGATGATGTGCATGTTTTTAAAACATTTTTTTAACCGATTTTGAGTAGGATTTTTCTGCAGCAGTCCCTTCATCTTTTCTCGCGACTAACATTAACGCCATTAAAACTTCCTTACATCTAGTGTAGTTTACACAAAATGAAGCCCTGTGAGTTTATACGTGTTCTACTCTCATGATTTCACTGCCACCTACCTAGGGAAACTCTGCTGAATGAAATAAGCCACAAAATTCTTTTAACTTCCTGTTGTTATTTTTTACAACTCGCTTTCATCACACAGATAGTTTTTACACGCTCACTATCTTTCCTTTCTCAAGTGAGTCCATCTAGTTGAGCTATTTCAAAGAAGAATTTTTTATTATCCGATTTGTGTAACTCGTTGTTTTCTTACTCTTGCTACTCACAAAATTTACCATATGATTAACTGTGTTCTGATTTCCAATAGAAACAGAAACAAGAATTATTTTTTTGAGCTCACAAAATGTGACGCCGCCGCCACCACAAAACAAATATGTTTTTAATCCCTTGCAAATGGAAGGGAAATGCTATTGGAATAATTCGTATAACGTTTTAAGCCTTGAGAATTGAAACGACTATTCTCATTCAATGCGAATAATAACGATTCCTCTCGTAAAATACGAGCAAACGAAACATTCTTCTCGTAAAATACGAAAGTACGAATAGAGAATACGAAGTTAAGAAGTAACTTCTCATTTAATACTAAAAGTGGTACGATTTCCCATCTGAGTATAAATAGAAGCTCAAAACTACGGGAATTCATTCCCAACAATTTCTCTTCTAACACCACCACCTCCCTCTCTAAAATTCCAACAAAATCTCACCAAATACCAATACTCTCTCTTCAACCACCCCAACCATTCTCTAAAATAATATCCAGTCTCAGCAGTAAAAATATCTCTAATCTCACACTTAAAATAAAGATTGAGTCAAAAGGCAACTTGCTGTAAGTTCGTACTAACCTTTTTTTAATAAAATATTTCTCAGCGAATTTTAGATTTACTTTCTAAGATAGAAAGTAGAAAGGACCCTTTATTCCTAGCAAGCGTTTTGTCCGGCGCACATAGTGTTGCTAGCTCAGAATAACTGCTTCAAAAATGTTCACCCAGAAGCTTGTGGGATCGACTTGTTGATGATGCGCTGTTCCTCAACATGAAGACTGACAAGCCTAACGCTATCAACTTGAGCCGACAAGCTAACAAGCAAACAAACAATGAAACCAGGGGCGGGTTTAGGGGGGGCGGGGGGGGGGGGGCTTACGCCTGCCTTTCTCAGGGATTCGACACCCTGCCGACCCAAAGGGTCCCCCCTTTGGTACTTCTTAAGAAATCCACTTTTGGCCGACCGACCCTAAAATTTTTAAAGGCGACCCTAAAATTTTGAGGGGGGAGCGCGCGCCGAAAAAACGCAATGTTTTGGTCAACATTTTCCAAAAAGTGCCTAAAAACGCCTTTTTTGACTGTTTTTTTTTCAAAAATTTGCCTGCGGCTCAGAAAATTTTGCCAAAATCGGGGCAAAACAGTGCTTTGGGAGAGCTCAAAAAATCTATTTGGTCGATCTAAAAAAAAGGTCGTCAAAATTTTCGATTTCTTTTTGAAAATCCGCCCCGCCCTCGAGCAAATCCTAGATCCGCCCCTGAATCAAACGAAAACAATCCTTTTTTCGGACCGGCTTCTCTCCTCAAATTGAATAGTACAGGCACTAAAGGCTTCTTAGAAATTTCTAGATAAGTTCGAGCAAACATCTAATTTGGTCGAGCAGATTCGACCAACGCTTCTTCTAAGAATTTGACAGGAGCGCAGTTTTTGGACAAAATTTTCCAAGAACTGTCCAGAAACGCAATTTTTTTGGACAACGCAATTTTTTTGGAAAAAATTTTCCAAGAACTAAACAGAAACACGGCGCAAAAATTTGTTTTGTGAGTGCTCGGAAACTAAATTTAATGGACCTAAAAAAAGGTCGACAAAATTTTCAAAAAGTTTGGGTCCGGTTTTCCGGTCCTGTTACATTTATGAAGGATTTCCTTTGATTCTCCGGATTCAAACTGCTTCTGTGTCGTCAAGTTAAATTAAATTTTTGATTACTTGGGTTGTCGCAGCCCGAAGAGGAGGTACACCGAGACTACAGCAATTAGGAGCAGAAGGAAGAAACATATGGCAACTATTGTTGCAGGCTTCAGTCCCTCGTCATGCTCTTCACTAACTCGGATATCGATTTCCCCTTCACGTTGAGCATCATCGTCGCCTGGCTCTGCATCGTCGTCTCCATTCTCAGGCCGGTCTAATTGTAAATTCAAACGTATAAACTATCTAGTCACTTCTTTTAATATTAATTTGTGTTTTTTCAATCATATATATATATGATTGACAGAAAACAAATTAATTGATGATTTTCATAATTTATTCTCACCCATGTGTACGAAAATAGCCATAGGATATAGGAAAAAGGTGTACGTACAGCGTATTTCTTGATAAATTAAAAAAACCAAAATGACCCATTTTTGGGTCAAAATTCTGGCCGCCAATGCTGGTGAAATTCTAAGCAACATTTGTCTTCTGCTTTTTTGTCTAATCTTACCGCAATTTGAGAAAACGCGTTTAAAGTTTTAATTTTTATTTTATTTTGAAATAAATTTGAAAAACAGCCATTTAAAATATAGACTTATGGCACTTCAGTTCCTACATGCATTCACTCGTCCCAGTTACGTCACATCTACGTTACAGATTTGACAATTATAAGGAGTAGCAGAGCTCATAGGGGAGAAAACTGGATCAAAAGGTGATTATTTCATTCCGCTGTGAAAGATAAAAACTAAGTAAAGTGGAATTTTGAAACTGAAACGTTTTTTGGGCCTTTTATTCTTTTGCTATTGAAGGGCGTAGTTTGCCTTCCACTTCAGCAATAGTTTTGAGTGATTTATCATGAGCGAATTTCCTCAGAAAAAAACTCCTTCCAGCCCTGAGAAAAAATGTTGAAATTTTTTCTAACAATCCTAAAAGCATGGGATCTACTTAACAATTGCCCTCCCCCTTTTTTAAGAAAGGGGGGGGGGGGCAATTTTTAAGTAGATTAAAATAGCGCATTTTCGACCAATCAGAATGATGCAGCAAAATTCTAATTCTCAATAGAAAGTTCAGGGCTAATTTACTGCTTTTATTAATAGGGGTCGCAATTGTTAAGTAGATCCAAAGCATGAAACCACGGGCAGAAAATCCACGTTAGGCCACAATTGTTCGGATAGGAACAATGATCAAAGTTAAATGAGGAATGGCCAGAAGAAAGGGGAAGCAGGCAGAAAAGTTCTTCAATCACTGTGAAACTCAAAAAACTGTAAGATCCATAAATTACGTTAAATGGTTGGGATGTTTAACGGTTAAAATAGTGCGATTTCTTGTATTACTTGAAACTTTGGATTCTCTTGCCATGTTGTTTTAAGTCATGGGTAAAAATAACTTAAATTGACAACATCGTCGGAAATAAAAGAATTGAATTAACATAGCAAATAATGATTTTCTTAAATTTGACTCACGATTGTATAATTTGTGCTCATAAGTCCACGGAAGAGAAACATTCCACAGACTCACAGAAACAGTTAGAGTGAAGTTGAATCCCGAACTGAAGCCCAAATTTTCTAACAGGTACGAACACGACACGGCTGTTGTGTTACAATCACTGCCCAGAAAAAATCCCGTTCGTTCAACGTCTCCGTATGGTTGATAGGTAACCTGAACAAAGAGTGTGAATAAAACAGCCGAAGTAAAAACCAACCGAAAATGCGCAAAGTATATAAATCAGCCGAAAAGTTACGTCATATGAAACCAAAGTATATAAACCAGGCGAAAAGTTACGTATATGAATCAAATTTGCATAACTTTCGGAGCTGTTGTATAATTGTTACATAACTATTTCATAACACTTACGCATTTTCGGCTGGCGTATATGGTAGCTGGTTTATACATCCCCGCTTGTTTATATACACCTGAACAAACTGTTCGTCATGACAATGTAAATCAAGAAAAAAAATCGTTCATATTATAATTCTCCTGGTCAGAAATTCGAACCAGCTGGTGGATTTAGGTTGTATATCAGGAAATCAACTCAATATATTGAAAACTTTCCATTTTCATGGTAATTTTTACTGTCAGCTTTTCTTTCAAATTAAGTTTTTCTGCGTTGTCCACAGCTTTTTAGTGAAAAACTGAACATGACCGAGGGTCGTGGTCCCAGATTTATGCATAGACTTTGAAAGTAGCGCCGTATACGAATCCATATGCCAATTACATATTCGCATATGCAAGTTACCTAAAATCACAAATAATTGATCACGAAGTCGTGAAAGTCTGGAAAAGTGCAAAAATCTGGGCTAAAAGTCACAAATATGAGGATGTAGAATTGCGCAAGTCTCGACATAAAGTGGCCAAAAACTGAAGACAGAGTAGCAACCATGCAACAACGTCGCCGTTTTGCAAGTCTGAACAGAAAAATTCAAATGATCCTGCACAAAAATTCGAGAAGCAATATCCAGCAGAAAATTTTCCTCATAAAGAAATACTACAACAATTGGGGGCTCTTTTCCCCGTTCTCCCCACATTCGATTTGTAAATTTGAAAAACTACTTTAACGTTGGCATAATGCCATTTTGAAGTCTGATTTTTAGACTTTTGCAACCTCGTATTTAGACTTTCGTGACCCAAATTTGGCATGTCCAGACATTTGCGACCAAAACATTCGCGAAATGTGCGACAATTTTTGGTCGTTAAATGCTGGAAATACAAAATTCTGGTCGCAAAACTCTGAACTTAGTGGCAAATAAAACTGGCGCAACGTTCGCGAAAATTTTGGTCGCAAATGTCTGAACATGCCAAAATTTGATCGCGAAAATCTGGACATGTCAAAACTTGGCTGCTATAGCCTGGACATAAAAAAACCTAAACTGCTAAATGAGATTAAATCTTGTCTACAAAATACATAAAAATTGAACAAAAACGAAAAATTGGGAGCGCAGTTCAACACAGAGGCGAAGTTGCACTTTGCATGCACAAGCACAAACATGACCGGCAACGCTACAGGGAAAAACTGAATGAGTAAAACTTTGAGTCCACAAAACTTCTTAAGTGACGCAAGCTAATTATGACGCATTGGCAGTACCAGTCAATTTGAAAAAAAAATTACCAACTAACATGCCTCAATTTATAGGGCGGACGCATTTAGCTAGTATACAAAAAAGTTCATTAATAACATCCGACCCTGCCCACTTTTATATTGTTGCGGGTCTCCTTCCCTACGCTCTACGCTACAGGTCCATGATACCTTGCAGCTAAAGTTCTATTTGTAAAATTATAGTCTGTGTTAAAATCCTTAGCATTGGCTGTACTTAATAATTGATTATTGACCAGAATGAACACATTTTGTCGCAACAATATTTGCGTCGCAACAATGTTTGAGACTTAGGTTGGAAAAAAGAGAGTTCATACTAAAACACAAACTTTACTTGTGCAAATATAAATCAGTATTAATCTATATAAAATTCAACTGCTTCCAAGACCTCAGGCTGCCACTGATAGATCTTCCTTAAAAATAGATAAAAATAGTTTTCAATTTTAACTTGTACTGATTTGAAAGTTGAACAATTGCAAATTAAATTAGGGTCCTGGTCTTGAATTCGATTCCATGCTAAGGCTGAACGACTGAAAAAGCAGTTGAACCGCAATAGCACCTCAAGTACCAGAGACAAGAGACACTTTTAAAAAGAGATTGTCTGCATATTTTACCGTATAGATGAAGGTGAACTCCTCCCTAGTGTCTAGTTTGTCGTCGGTCAGAGTGATCGTGCAGTTTTCAGAGTCGCAGACAGAGGAAATTGTCAGAGAAAATAGTCGGTCTAAAACAAACAAACATAACTATACGTGCGTATTTGACTAGCTGGTGAGTATTGCAGTTGACGTCTTTTCTGAAAACTTGAAACGAACTTTGAGAAAATTGTAACGATAGAAATCTCATGGTTGTTGTTCATTCCAGAGGCCTGTAATGTGAAGTGTTGAAGACCAGGTAATGAGAAAACGTAACCATAGCTAGTTTTGGTAATCTTTTTGGTAGTTTGGAAGTTTTGGTAGTTTTGGTAGTTTTGGCATTGTTGCTAATCTGGTAAGTATAAAAAAATATGACATATAGTTTCTAACCTATGACTGACAAGCTGAAATTGAACAAAGTTGGATTGGACACTGGATAGGAACAGTTGTGTAGATCACTTTTCCGGAGGGCCAATTCAACCTGAACATCTTCTTCATTAAACGTCTGGGACAAGGGGAAACAATGCAGTCCGGTGTCTTGCTGAAAAAGAGACTCTTTTTAAATTTGCTTTTAAAAAGTTTCAAACAACCACACAGCACCAATTCTTATTCTGAAACTGAGATAAACTCAATCGGGAAGAAATAACTCACATCATGAAAAGTAACTAACTAACCTAACTAGCCAACTAACCTTTCTATCGACGCTGTATTCTTGTTCGCTCTCTAGAGTTTTGTTGCCTTGTTTAAGGGCTAATACCATTCCAGTATAGTCCACAGTTGATTTAGCTTGATTCCACTTAATGCAGAACCAGTCTGAAGTCTTGGACAAGACTACTGGCGTCTCAGAGACGTGTGGCATAACTAAAAAAAATGAAATTGAAAGTCTTAGAAAGAAGTTTAGTATCACTATTTAAATTTACATCCGAAAGGACATTAAGTTTTTCTGCTTTAGAATTCTGGTTTTGAAGATGCAATTGTGGGAAGCAAAACAGTAAAAGTTAATAATGAATGAATACTCTGCTATTATTTCTCGGAATTGTATGAATTGAATAGCACAAGTTTTCGGCTAAGATGAATATAGAATTACTCTTACAGAAAAACAAAAAGATTGCAAGAATATGATAATTTTCGCTTACTTTGACATTTTTTCAACTAAAAATCTATTCAAAATTTGCTCGATTTTTTACAATTTGAAAGCTTACTTGAGCATGCTTTATACTCTGTAGCATCATTTGACTCCAGTTCAGGGTTGTCGCATTCCGACCGATTGTTGATAGCATAAACTTGGAACTTATATTCAGTTCCCGGCCCCAAATTGTATATTTCGAGGTTTTCGTTCACAGCTACTGTTCCGGTGCTTCTGAAAGCTGATTGGTTGTTGTGGTCGGTTTTGATGCCGTAATGTGTGAGGTAACCATTGTTATTGGAGGGTGTTACAGGGTTGTCTGAGGCGAGGATTGAGATTGAGGTCTCATTGGAAATGTAGGGAACGCCAGAGAGATCAGGGGCAACAGGTGCTGCAAACAACATCAATTACATGAACTTGTGGATCTGTATAGTTATCCTCGCCCCTATGCTACCTAGTAACAAATATGCATGCCTATAAAATACTAATTGAAAGAAGGTTAAGCCTATGCGAATTTCCTAACTAGTAACAATTACTATTATTACTTTAAATATTTTAAGTATTTCTCCCTCTGGCGATACAGGGGGAAATACTGAAGGAGAACCCATAAATTTCGCAAATGAGATAATAAAACAAGTATTTTTAACTATAATAATTTCTCGGAAACTAAAGCTATTTAGGGGGGGGGGGGGCGGAGGCTCCACCCCTCAGTGATTCGACCCCCTGTCGACCCAAAGGGTCCTCCCTTTGGGACTTTTTAAGAAATCCATTTTTGGCCGACCGACCCTAACATTTTTCTTTGGCGCCAATATATACTAATTTTAAGGGGGGAGCGCGCGCCGAAAAAACTCGATTTTTCGGTCAAAGTTTTCCAAAAGCTGCCTAAAAACGCCTTTTTTGGACTGTTTTTTCGTCTGTTTGTTGCGGCGCAGAAAATTTGGCCAAAAAAGGGACGAAACCGAGGCTAGGGAGAGCTGGAAAAATCAATTCGGTCTGTTTGGACTGTTTGTTGCGGCGCAGAAAATTTGGCCAAAAAAGGGACCAAACCGAGGCTAGGGAGAGCTGGAAAAATCAATTCGGTCGACCTAAAAAAAAAGGTCGTCGACAAAGTTTTCAATTTTTTTTTGAAAATCCGCACCCTCAAGAAAATCCTAGATCCGCCCCTGATTTAGGGATACCAAAAAGGAACCTGAATCGTGCCTCTTTACCTGTGCAAAGATGAATGGTAAGTTGGGATATGTCATTCTGGCCTGCACTCGTGAACAGACCGTCAATCTCGAAAGTGATCACGCTCCCAGGTGTCAATCCCGAATAGGAGAACCAGGGTGGATAAGTCTCATCGTCGGTCTTATGACTCAATTCACCACATGCTTCAGGATGGTGGATTAAGGAACAAGTTATATTGCCGACATGCCAAGATGCATTTGCAACCGTTTCATTTGTGATGGCATCGGAAGTCACGGAGACGTTGACCGTCGTTGCAGTGACATCTTCTAATTTAAAAAATAGTCTACTCTCCACACCTGAAAGAAGAAAAAAATCATTTAAATATTATCAAAACATCGGAGATTAGCAAACTTGAACTGGTATCTGGTATCTCAGTATAATGACTCTTTAATCTTAAGGATACTGGTTCGAGTCTCGCCATACCCCAGAGGCATCTTTTCCAAGCAACAAAAAACAAGGATAGCCGGTTACCGTGCAATTAGCACAAATTGTTCCGACCATAGTCTTAAAAAATACAAAAAAAAGGTTTTTTCTAAAACAAAAATTCAGAACTTAGGCATACAATGCTGATTTAAATTAACCGGACAAAACGAGCTAAACTTGAAATTTAAAACGCCTTTTTCTCAAATTGCGTTGAGCTTAGGTGAAAACTTATAAGACCAAACTTGATTAGAGTTTTAGCAGAACTAATATGGTGTAATTTGTTTTGCGAAGTTCAGGCCAAAAATTTTACCCCAAAAAGGGTTAAATTGGCTTTTCTTAGTTAATCAAAAATTACTCCAAAAAAACCCAGTCGATCAGACATGATTATATCAAAGTGAGCCCCTTACGTAGTCCAACAAGTTTTAAGGAGGCTATATTCTCCAAAACATTGTATAGATTTATTTATTTTTGTTTGATAGACAAAAAAGGTCGTTTTTACTAAATAAAATACCAACTTTTTATTTAAAAACAATTTTTAAACGGTTTGCATTTTTTTTGGAGAATATACCCTGCTTAAAGTTTGTTGGGCTACGTAAGGGGCTCATTTTGATATAATTATGTCTGTGATCGACTGGATATTTTGGCGTAATTTTTGATTAACTAAAAAAATCAAAACGACCCATTTTTGGGGTAAAATTTTGAGCCCGAGTTTCGCAAAACAAACTAAACCATCTAAGTTCTGCTAAAATTCTAATCAAGTTTTGTCTTCATAAGTTTTCACCTAAACTCTACCCAATTTTAGAAAAAGGCGTTTTAAATTTCAAATTTAACGCATTTTGTCAGGTTAATTTAAATCAGCACTGTATTCGACAGTCATAATAAAATAGGCAAATTGGAAAAATGACTATGCAAATTAGAATAATTCAAAACGAAAAAAGAAATTTGAAAGAAATTGAAAGAATTATTTGAATGTTTTTGATTCCCAAAATGGTCGGAACAAAAAAAACTAAAACAACTCACCCAAATGCAAGCGTCCTCCCTATTTTCAATGGTCGGAACAACAACAATTTACTTGCTTAGGACCATTTTCATTTGAGCTTAAAGGCAGAATTAAATTATCGACATAACAGCAGTTCAGCTCCTAGCGGCGAACCACTGCTATTATCTGATTGAAGTCTACATGCGATATATCTTGTACTATTTTTGGATTGAAAAAACCCTCTGCCCTCAAACAACAAAGACAGACCAGGTTTTTTGAAAAAGTTAAGGGGGGGGGGGGACAAATATTTAAGCGACATGGTTGCCATATTAACTTTTGCAAGTACAAAGTCATATAACATTTAATTATGACACTTGAGCCCAATTAATTGTGCTTACCTTGAATGTTTAAAAGGGTCCATAGGTGAAACGAGAACAAAGTGCACCGAAAACTATAGAAAAACATCTTCAAACGATGAATCTTCTAAAAGTGAGTTCAGATGTTTCTCAAATTTGAATCTACATTGAAACTACGCTGTCATAAAAACATAAGCTGATTGATGTAATAAAATATAACTATTCAAAGTTGTATAAAGTATGCATACATTAAGCTGCTTTAATAGTTAACTAGTTAATTTTTTCATCTTTTCTGACTTAATCGTGGCGACGAATGTTCACCAAGTTTTTGATGCAGAGTCGAAGTTGTTCTTTACAAACTTCAGCTTAAACTTTAAAACAGATTTTTTACAATACAACCTAAGCAAAATTCAAGCCAGCAGAAAAGAATGTTCTAAGCAGTTTTATCTTTGAAAAAAAAACTATGCCAGCAGAAAAGAATGTTCTAAACAGTTTTATCTTTGAAAAAAAACTATGACAGTAGAAAAGAATATTCTATGAAGTTTTATCTTATCGGAAAAAAAACAGAAGGAAAAAAAGTTTCACACCTATTTGCCACACAAAAACATATGCTACGTATAGGCGTTTTACAATTTTTAAGAAAAAGTTGATTATGTTTCCTATTTTACAGAACCTCAAAACTTTTGAAAAGAACTCGGGTTGCCAATCGTAGAAGGTAATGGGCAGCCACACGTATCCAATTATGGCTTGCGTGGAAAATGACTTATCAACTTATTGGAACTCAATTATCTGCATCATTGAAGCGATCATTTTCATTTGTGATCAAAATCACCGTTCTGTTCTGTAACTAAACTGAGAAAACATTTTAGCAGACAAACAAAAATCAACAATTATAACTATTCCTTTACATTTTCTCTGTATCTGCTTGATCAAGTTGTTTTCTTTCAAATCAAAGTATTGTTTACAGTATAACCTGTTACAGATTGCACGGGGCTATCAGATTGAAAAACATCAAACAATAGAGCCAGGTGTTTGGGAATGGAAAATCAAATTGATCTGCAAACAGAAAAAAAAAACTGAGTTCGAATTTTCTTTTTCATTATATGAATTTTTTCTTATCTGGGCTTGTTTTTCATCAGACTAAATTCAACTTAAATTTAACAATTTTTACCAGAAATGTTAATGCTATCCGACAGATAGCTTACAGAACTTACCTATAGCTCAGTAGCGGGTTTAGTAGTGTACGCCCCCTCCCCTCAGACATTCGACCCCCTGCCGACCCAAAAAGTCCCCCCTTTGTACTATTTTGAGATCCATTTTTGCTCGACTGGCCCTAAAAAATTTTCAGATCTTTGTGAAAAAAATAAAAACAATTCAAAAAAAACGAATAATTTTATTCAAAATTTTTGTTTACAAAAAAGCTTCTACCACACTTTGTGTCAAACGCAGAGTTAGTTTTATCGTCTGGCAACACATTTTTAATCGAGAATAAAGTACCTCGTTTTGGTTCGTAAAGATTTTTTAGCTGGGTTCGATTAGCCCGTACGCATATACAGTACGAAATTAATCGCGCTGCATATGTACCAACCCGGGATGACCAAAAATACTAGTCATACAACTTCCATATATGGAAAAATGCTAGTCATACACTTTCCAGGCAATTCCATACGTACAGAAAATTGCATGAAAGGTCTATGATTAGTATTTTTTTCATATATGGAAATTGTATAACTAGCATTTTTCCATAAACCAAAAATATTGATTCTTACATTTTAATTTCTCAAAATTTTTTAGTTGTGTTCGTAACCGAACACAAATGACATAAACCTTGATTACTCAAACGTAGTAACCAAAGGTTTGGCAGTCTTGCATTAAAAATGCATTGGAAACAGCCTGATATTTGTTATTTCTGTCTCACGCAAATAATATAACGAAAGTAATGAACTTTTAAATTTTGGCAATAATTTTCAAAGATGATTATTTCTAAAATTTGAATGTTTAAATTACCAGACATTTATCAAGGCATACAAAAACATGTCATACAAAAGAAAGAGGAGTTTTAAGCGTTTTTGAAAAAAGTTACGAAGAGAAAAGGAAAAAAATCCAATATTAGTATATCCAGGACTACGTTATACACACAAAAAATTAAATTTTGCATGCAAAATTTTTTTTTCAAAAAATGTTTGTTTGAACACGAAAATCAATTTGCAATTGAAAAAAAAAAAATTTTGGGGGCAATTTCAAAAGTACTTAGAAAAATTTTTGTCGTCGCCATCAAAAAAATGCTAGTCATACAATTTCCATATATGGAAATTGTATGACTAGTGTTTTCTTTTCAGAGAAAAAAATAAAAAAAGTCAAAGTTTTCAGTCGTAGCAGCCCAAAAAAACACTTAAATGTTTTGCAAGCAGTAGAATTGATTGTTCAAAGCTTTTTTTTTCACAAAAAAAAATTTAAAAAAAAATTTAATCATACAATTTCCATATATGGAAATTGTATGGGTAGCATTTTTTTTCATACCATTTTTTTTTCCTTTTTTTATGAAGAGATACCAATTTCGATACCAAAACAACTATAAAACACCTTTGAAATTCGATTAAATTCATTTTGCAAAAATGTATGAAATTTGTATGAACAGCATTTTTCCATAGAGTAAGTGTATGAAATTGTATGATTAGCATTTTCGGTCTATGGAGGTCAACCCGGGAAACTGGTAGTTTTCAGTTAGCATTTTCGAGATATAGATCTGAGAGCATGATTATCCTTCAAGTGATCTCCAATATTAAGTACATAGAGGCAAAGCGGAGCTTCGAATCACTGGTTACAGAACGCAAACATAGCATAAAAAGCAAGCCGAAAAAAACTGAGACGAGAGACAAAATCATCTTAAAGTTTCGTACATTTGTCTCAAGTGAAACTCAATATCATGAAAATCACTTGAATAACACGATTACCAAGGAGACAAACTTTATCGAGAAAAAATTTTGCAGAAAAAAATTTCGGTATATGCGCACTGAGCCAGGAAATCAAAGTTTACAAATTTCAAGCTATAATGATTCGAAAAATCCAAACTTTATGTTCTTACCGAAATACCAAAACGCATAGAGTCTAGTTTCGCAATTCAAACGACGTACTATTAGGCAAAAAACAACAATATATCAAATCGAAAACATTCAACCCAAAGAAACATTCAAAGTGAAAGAAAAACAAGACTGCCCGTATCAGGGCGAAGCCTTGAATGTTCCAACTACCTTTTAAAAATTATGGAGCAGTAGTAACATTATAAAATTAAATGTAATAAAACAAAATTGAAAAAATAAAATTCTAAAATTTGAAATTTTTTAATGATACATCCCCCCACACGCCATTTAAAGTACAAAAGAATAGATTTTGCTCATTGCAACAAATCAATTATGGCAAATAAGCTTCTTTCAACCAATTTGGAACGATTTTAATACGGATTAATTGTCCGCTTACGCGTTAATAGCGCGAGATAAATCGCGCGTTTATTGTCCCAAATTGGCCAAAATGGCAATCTTCAAACCCGGATAACTTTACCAAAAAAGATCACAGGTAAAATATCTTTTCAAATATAAGCTCAAGACAACAATACCTTTTGAGTGATATATAAAAATTCCGTCAAAAATGGCTAGTTAAAAAGTCGAAATTTGTGTGAAGAAAAAAAAACCCCACCCCGAGCACAAATATTCCGTTACTTTCGTATCGAAAGTCGGAACAACAAGACTGCTCGTATCAGGGCGAAGCCTTGAATGTTCCGACTGCCTTTTAAGGTTTATGGAGCAGTAATAACCTAAAAAAAAATAAATGTAATAAAATGAAATGCAATTTTTTTTTAATTTGAAAGTTTTTATGAAAGTCATCCCCCCACAAGCCATATAAAGTACAAAAGGACTATGGGGATTTTCGTTCCTTGTAACAAATCAGTTATGGCAAATAAGCTTCTTTTAACCAATTTGGAACAATTTCTAAGACGGATTAAATCTCCGCTTACCCGTTTATAGCGCGAAATTTATCGCGCGTTAATTGTCCCAAATTGGCCAAAACGGCGATCTTTAAACCCCCCTAACTTTACAAAAAATGATCACAGGGGAAAAATCTTTTCAAATTTAAGCTCAGTACAGCAATACCTTCTGAATGATATAAAAAATTCCGTCACAAATGGCTAGTTAAAAAGTCGAAATTTGTCTGAAGAAAAAAAACCCACCCCGAGCACAAATTTCTGTTAATTTCGTATCGGAAGTCGGAAGAACAAAGCGATTATATAAGATATCTGAGCTCTGTTACTTGCACAATTTCGAACAATTAAATGCTTTAAATAACTGATTCTTAAAGAAAACGGAACGAAACAGACAAAATCAGCACTGTGTAGTTAAAAACAGAAGTTTTAATTCACAGAGTGCGGAATAACAGATCCCAAGGGAACCCATAAGACAAAGTCTTTGAATTTGAAATCAATACAAGACTGCTCGTAACAGGGCGAAGCCCTGAATGTTCCGACTGCCTTTTCAGGTTTATGGAGCAGTAATAACATTAAAAAAATTCAATGAAATAAAAAAAATGAAATTTTTTTTTCTAAAATTTGAAATTTTTTTATGAAAATCATCACCCCACACGCCATATAAAGTACAAAAGGATAAATTTAGCTCCTTGTAACAAACCAAATATGGCAAATAAGCTTCTTTTAACCAATTTGGAACGATTTCTAAGACGGATTAACTCTCCGCTTACGCGTTAATAGCGCGAAATATCGCGCTTTAATTGTCCCAAATTGGCCAAAATTGCAATCTTTAAACCCCCGTAAGTTTACGAAAAATAATCACAGGTGAAATATCTTTTCAAATTTGAGCTCAGGACAACAATACCTTTCGAATGATATTAAACAAATTCCGTCAAAAACGGCTAGTGAAAAAGTCGAAATTTGTCTGAAGAAAAAAAAACCCACCCCGAGCACAAATATTCCGTTACTTTCGTATCAAAAGTCGGAACAATAAGGCAAGATACCAGGTGATTGACAGTTTCTGTTTAAAAGAATTTATAATAAAGAACAATACTTCAATTCGTTTTCACTTGCTCAAAGAAAAACTTGAAAAACTGAACTTGCTAAATGCGCTTATAGACAAACCTGAAAACAAATTTTGAGAAACTTGAGGATGTTTTAGGAAAACATCTTAGCAGTTATTCGAAATTTTTTATGTGCTTTTCCCTTGATTGAATATGCTTACAACAAAGTTTATAAAAATATA